TGTACTCTCTGGATACTCCTCTTCTTCATCTTGTTCTTCTTGCTCAATAAAGCTCAATCGCTCAGAGGTAACCGGCTCTAGCTCTTCGCCTTCATCTCGTTGCTCTGATATCAAAACTACAGGTCCCCTGGTGTCCGCTGCTTCTTCCTCTTCCTGCTGCTCTTCAACCACAGATACGATTTTCGGCACACTAACATCTTCACCATCATAGTCTTCTATTCCCTCATCTTCATCTTGCTGCTCCACACTTTGCTCGTCGATCTGATCTTCTGCGAGTTCTACAATAGGGTTCGCAAGCGCCTCCTGACTCTGTTTTTGTCTCTCCTTTTCTGGCACCATAGGCTCTTCTGGAGCGTTCTCTTCTTCCATCGCCTCTTCCTCTGTCTCGACAATTACTACACTATTTCCGTTCTCCTCCATATCCTGATCACCTTCGTCTTCGTCTTGCACTTCAAGGGATTTTTCCAGAGGATTATTCGGCTCTTCAACAATTGCCGCCGTCTCCAATGTTTCAGCACTAGGGCTTGGACTGATATAGGGTGTGAATTCTTCTGGTTCAATCTGTGCGCATTCCTCCGCTGCACTTGAACTTTCGTAGTTGTCTTCGTAATCCAGCGATTCGTCAAAGTTTGGCTGGAATACAATTACTTTGCGACTACAAAATGAGATTCCAAAGAATTTTTCAAAAGCTGTGAACTATGTTAATAGGGTAAGTCACCCGATCACTAAATCTGGCCGTACAGTGTTTCTCTCGGCAAGATAAGAGTGAGCATCTTATTCATCGGAACACTGAGGCAATTGAATAGTCAACTAGCTCTCAAAATTTCATGCGTTGTAGTAGTAGCACTTCTGGTACTTGATCTCGAACGAAAGAGCTGTAATTTTGCTAACTTCGTCTCTTCTCTTTATCATTGAGCTCCCTCCTTCCACCATCATGATCATGTGAACGGATATGTGAGCAATTCGTGACAGTTATTCCTTTCACACGTATTCCATTTCAGCTTTTCAAGCTGGCAATCCCTACTTGCTAAAACTCTCCTTCCCAATCCGCTCTACTTTCAACATTCTGCGACAACCCTCCACTAATTGGAATACAAGGGGGAATGCAGAGACGGCAAAGAGTGGGGAATGGAGATTCTCACCATAGACACCACTGTAAAAGCCAGCGTTCATTCAAACTCGGTCTCAAAATTCAAATCCAATGTTTTGCTGATATTGCAAAATGGGGGG